CCAAATAGATGTACTTTGGCCTTAAAGTAGACCCTATATAGGTACTTTAGGGCCAATGTATATACTATTTGGGTACATGGGCCCTCAGGGAAGTCTTCAAGCTGATACTTCAGTGTCCTTGTGGTGTGCAAGAAGTGCTTCACGAGATTGCGAGTCCCAGGGCTTGCAGCCATCATCGTAACGACTTGCTTCGGAATTGTTCATTCGACGCACTTTTGCCGAAGCAAAGCGGGTACGAATAGAAGCTATTGAGATGTGCCAGCATGTTATAGTTTCTGCGGCTTCCTTGGAGGAGAAAGGGCCATTGCGAGGAGGCGGGAGTATAATGCAAGGATGTCGAAACATCTCAAATGAAGTATTTCTGACCACACGTACCCTTAGCTTGTTCAGGTAGCCCTTCAAGTGCCTGTCCCAGGTTTTTCCACGACGAGCCTCGCCTGTGCGGACGGTTCAGATCAAGAATATGGTGCATGGCTTTTCAGGGTTGGGCATCTAGGATTTATAGGAATTCATGAAGGATGAAGAGGGAGGGGGAAAGGATTTGGCTTGGGTTTGCAACACAAGCTCTCAGAAACGTACTTTTGCTATCAAGTGTTCACGAGCCAAGGGGTTTTGAAGTTTCTACTATGCTTGGGTATCGGGTTGTCTGACAAGTGAGAGGTCTAAAGTTTTAAGATCAGGGTTTTATCGCACAGGGCTTTGTGTGTGCCCTATTTTCTTGAACTCCAGGACTCCAGGACGCCATATCTGCAGACGGATTGCTGCACAGGGCTAGTTAGGCTTGTTGGGTTCTCGCGATCCGACAGTTTTGGTTCGCTCCACAACCCGAAATCCTAAAACGGTTTAGGGTTTAGGGTTTAAGGTTTAGGGTTTAGGGTTTAGGGTTTAGGGTTTAGGGTTTAGGATTTAGGGTTTAGGGTTTAGGGTTTAGGCACCCAAAAAAGGGGTAGTTACGGGCCGAGCAGTCTCGCTCTTCTCTTCAAAAACGGCGGCCACAGTCCCCCGTAACCCTCAACATTACATCCCCCCTAGGGCGGCTGGGAGCCTTGAACCCCCGGAGCGCTGAAACTGGAGTTTAGGGTTTAGGGTTTAGGGTTTAGGGTTTAGGGTTTAGGGTTTAGGGTTTAGGGTGACTTGGATGGCCGGTGGGAGCACTTTAAAAATGTTGAGCCTTATATAATGTGGTCTATCATACACACTTTGAACTGGTTTTGGGCCTGGTTATTGAAGGAGGGTGGTTTTCAGTGGGGAGCTGTAAAGGTTCTTGCCGCTTATCAACTCAAGCATTCAATGAATGACTGCAGTCCCAAAGCATCTGAACCCTAAAAGCAACAAGCTAAAACCCGAACCCTGCACCGCTGAGCCTCAACTTTGTTGCAGGAATTCAGGTATTTCGGCCTTGGGTAATGCAGAGCCACGGAGGATGAAGTATCATGAGTCATGAACTTGGCTCCAAACCACCCAACTTCTTAGAGTTTCGGGTATCGGGCTTAGAACCCTACCCTAAACGCGAAGACCCTTCAAGGGCCCAATGACACCCACAAGCCTACCACCCTACTGCAAGCCCTGAACCTTTCCGCCCAGCCGAGGAAAAGCCACATTCAGGGTGCGGGAAGAGCTCGGCGAAGCGATGCCAAGATCTTCTATTTCGACAACGACCCCCACCAGGCCTGCTTGCGTTAATATACGCGCCTTAACAGTTAGACTGGGGTTTTGGGGCCCATTATACTATACTTATAAAGATGGAACCCCCGAAAATCAAAATAGTATTGGCAATTATTTAGGCCAGTATGCGGACCCAGAGAGCCCAGGTACTCGGAACATACCTCAAATGAAGAAGGGGCCACCGAATTTTCGGTATATACTCCGTTTAGGAAGGGGTATTGGGCTCTCTGGGTGCACATCTTCCTTGGTAAAGGCCCCCTGCGCAAGGGCCCTAAATGGCCGGAAACCCCAAAGCCCTTATAAATCGTAAACATGGCCAGACTGCCCTAAACCCTAAACCCTTACGACGGTCAGCGCTTGCCTTCTGATGTTTTCTTCGTGTATCATGCCCCCACAACCCAGACCAATGTAGGGGCCAAAGTAATTACCAATACTATTTGGAAGGCTCCTTATTATAATTATAGTACAACGGACCCCCAAAAACCCTATTCTCATCATTACTTCCCCTAAACCCTAGTAGCCCTTATAGAACCCTGTAAGGAACCCTTTAAACGGAGCCCCAAAACCCTATTCTAATTATTAAGGCCCCTCTATTCGAAGCCAGCTGCTGATCCCTGCACCCCCCCAGACTCTGATCGGGGCTTGGGAAGATGGAAGCCCCCATAGCCACAGAACAGGGTTTAGGGTTTAAGGTTTAAGGTTTAGGATTCAGGGTTTAGGGTTTAGGGTTTAGGGTTTAAGGTTTAGGGTTTAGGGTTCAAGGTTAAGGTTTAGGGTTTAGGGTTTACGGTTTAAGTCATTAAGGGTGCCTTCCTCTAGTTGCAATAGGTTAATAATACTGTAGAAGGAACACTATCATATACTTCTTCAGGGCTTCGAGATCAGCACAGAGGCCCGAACAAGTATTAATGTTGTAGCCTGGGGTTCCGTAGCTGAGCCGTACTATGATAGGACCCACAAGCCCTGCTCCTGATGATTAAGGCCCCTAAGTTACCTAAACCCTAAACCCTAAACCCTAAACCCTAAACCCTAAACCCTAAACCCTAAAACCCTAAAACCCTAAAAGGTTGCGTCTCAGGTCGTGTCTGAGAAAGGAAGATAGGAGACAAGGATAAGGAAGCTTCAGTTTCAGTACTCCAGGAAGAAGGCTCAAGGCTCTTGCGTGATTCAGGGTTCAGGATTTTAGGACCTGAAACCCTAAACCCTAGGCCCTAAACCCTAAACCCTGAAACCGGCAACCCTAAACCCCGATCCCCCCGGCCCTAAACCCTAAGCCCTAGACCCCAATCCCTCGGCCCTAAACCCTAGGTTTAGGGTTTTAGGGTTTAGGGTTTAGGGAGCCCATCCCTAAACCCCTACTACACTAAAGCCCAAGTCCTGCCTGACAGGAGGAGGGAAGAGCCAAGCTGCTGGCAGAGGTGGCCAAGGCAATAATGTAGGGGGCTGAATAGGGTTTAGGGTTTCGGGTTTAGGGTTTAGGAATAATTAGAAGAGGGTTTGGGGCCCAATATTCTGTAATTATTAAATGATGAAGCTCCAAAACGGTATTGATAATTATTTGGGCCCCTCTATCAGTCTTTCAATCAGGGCCTGTGACTTAGGGTTGAGGAGATTGTGCCTTCGGGTCGAACCATTGTGCCATAGCCTACTTTTGATATGGGTGGTTGGCAAAATTAGGGTCCCTTTTTGGGGTACCCTAAATATTAGGCCCGTATTATATAACGGACCCAAAAAGGGACCATAATTTTTGACAACCACCCATATGTGCCTGAGGGTTTCGGGTCCAGTACTCTAGGGTGCCATAGCCTGTTCTTTTTGTATAGGTTCTTATCTTCAGCCCGAATGATTCAGACGTGGAGTGGACAAAGTATATATTCTAGGTTCTGGTAGCATAAGGTAGGACCGCACCAACAGTATAGGGCTTTACTTGTCAGGCTTCCTGGGTCAATGGGGCGTTAGGGCTTATTTACAGTATAAGGGTTTGAGACTTTACCCGCGGCGAGAACAGATGATACATTTGGCGGGGTGTATGAAGTTGAGCGAGGGAGAACTTACTCGGTCTTCAGTAGTGGCCAAAGGGGTGTCCTTTTTGAAGCCTAGAAGTAGGAAGATGTACCCTCATCATTCAGAGATTACTAGGGAACTTCATGGAAGAACCAGTAGGAGGAACAGGGGAGGAGCACCGCACTCGTCAGAGCATGACCGTGACAAAACAATGACGACGAATTGGAGCACTCGCGACAGGCTTTCTGATCAAACAAACATTGATTTGTCGTAAAACCTTCACCCTCAAGCTGATGATCCCTAAATCCTGATCGCTACAGCGAACACTCCCAAACACTGATGCCAAAGCGCGTAATTCCCAAACCCAAAGTCCCATCCCCACAGCCTAAAAATCCCTGAACCCAAATCCCGAAGCCCTGAACCTGAATCGACCTCCCGAGAGGACGACTCACTTCGTTTGACGGAAGCCGAGCGCAGCGAGCGTCGAGAAGAAGCCACTTTTGCTGTGCCAGGCAGAAACCCTCGGCTCTCTTTGCAGTGCAGGGCTGCGGCTTTACCTAAACCATTTGGGTTAAGCCCTTTGGGTTTAGGGTTTAGACCTTAAGGTTAAGGGGGGGTTAAGGGTGGCTGCCGAAACCGTAAGCCTGTCCCAGGGTTCCTACACCCTCAGCCCGAAACCTCTCTTTAGGCCTTTAGGTTGTAATGGAGATCACCCTGGATCCCCAGAAGGTTTTTGTTTGTGTTTTCATTTTCTCCTGTTTTAGAGAAGGGGAAATCTACACCGAAATGAAGAAAGAGAACTGCGTTGTTGCTAAGCCCCCTGGTTTGGTTGTGGGTTTTGTTGCGTCTTTGGGCCACAGGAGCCCATGAGATCGTTCTACTTTTAGCTGCCTGGGGGTCACAAAGGGCTCATGACGTAGGATTTCAAGGAGGGTTGGGGTTTCGGTGACTGCACACAGGATGGGTAGTAGCATGCCTCCCATAGTCGCCATAGTCCCTGATTCTTCTGTGGACTGTCTCCTCGTCAAAATTGAATATGTAGAAAGAACAAAAGCCAAACCTCATTACTGCAAGGGTTGCGGTAACTTGTCAATGGGTTGTTTATTTCGTTCATTTGTTTCTTTTGTTTCATTGAAATAAACACGCACTCGTCTCTCACTTGTTGTATTTCAATAAAAGCAGAAGCAAGAAACTCTCTTCATGTTGTAACCTCCGGATGTAGGAGGAAGTTAGTAGGATATTCTAATTAAGAAGGATTTAATTACTCAACGAATCAAACCCTAGACTCTCTAGGCCTCTAACCGTGAGCCCCAATCCCAAGAACATGGCAGGCATCTACCCCTTCTACCCCTCGAACGCCGGCATGAAGGCTGAGGCCGCTTCCGGGATGAAACTTCACAAGAGCCTTGCTTTGGGTTTGGGGCGCGGGTGGCGGGCGGGTGGGGGGGGCTTTATTACCCCGAATCGTAGGGACTTGATGCAGGCTTGATATGCCCTAGTTTGGAAGTACAGTTCCTTGGTCCCCTTGCCCCCGAGCCCTGAGTGTCCACATGAGCCAAAGCTGTCGACGGGTCATACGGGTTATTCTCGTTTTGGGATGGGAGTGAGGGCTCAGTTAAGTTGGGCCATGTGACGTGTGTGTGTGTGTGCGTGTGTCTGCAAGTAGTCCTGTATTCAGGATCTCGAATCATGAAGGATCGTTGACCAAGAGTTGTTTGTGCTCGATTCCTTTTTTTCTTCCAGGAGGTTCTGGCGGGTTACATATACACTAAAAGGTCTCAGTAATTCCTTATTTTGCTTTGAGAACTAACCCTAAACCCTAAACCCTTTCTAGGATGAAGAATCTGAGCTTTGAGTGGATAGGCTTGAGGGCAAGTTGTGGTCGAGGTCCGTAGTTCCCCAATACCCAACCTTTAAACTTTAAACTTTTTGGGTTCTTTTTATTTAGTAGTAATCTGAAGCTTTAGCCTGAACCCTAAATGGTTTACACGGGGTCGCTCCGCTTCATCACTTTGTGATAAGGCCAGTGGAAATGCAAAAGGGCACTCCGAACGCAAGCCTTGCAAGCCACAGACTTAGCTATCGGGTGTAGCTTTGCCACTGGTTTTTAATCCCAAGCCCAACACCCAAACCCCAAACCCCGACCAAGCTCTAAGCCCTAAGCCCCACACCCTGAAATCAACATCCCACAGCTTAAACTAATTTGCTGTTGTGGTTCTCGTCGCTGATTCAAGGCCCTATCTCGAGCCCGAAGCCGTGTGCTGAGCC